CTATGTGCAATGTAAAACATGAATAATGTAGGAGGAATTGCCACTGAAGAAGTCTTCACTATATATTCTGTATAAGGAAAAAACATTGATGAATGGCCATAATTAGGTCAAAAATTATCCAATCACAAAACCCCGACAATATGTGCCAGGGCGCTTGGTGATAAAGCTTCTGTGAAAGTTTGAACAAAATCCATTGAGAAATGTAGGATGAGTTCAGCACAGAAGAATTTGTTCACTATACATGTATATTGAATCACAAAACCCAGACAATATGCGCCAGGGCACTTGATAACAAAGCTTCTGTGAAAGTTTGGTCAAAATCCTTCGAGAAATGTAGGAGCAGTTGCGCACGATAGAAATTGTTCACTATATATTCTGTATAAGGAAAAAAAAGGGGCCATAATTAGGTTAAATATTATCCAATCACAAAACCCTGACAATATGCGCCAGGGCACATGATGACAAAGCTTCTGTGAAAGTTTGAACAAAATCCCTTGAGAATTGTAGAGGGAGTTCAGCACAGAAGAAATTGTTCACTATATATTCTATATAAGGAAAAAAAACAAAGGGCAATAATTAGGTCAAATATTATCCAATCGCAAAACCCCGACAATATGCCCCAGGGCACTTGATGACAAAGGTTCTGTGAAAGTTTGGTCAAAATCTGTGGAGAAATGCAGGAGGAGTTGCGCACAGAAGGAATTGTTTACAATATATTCTTTATAAGGAAAAAAAACAAAGGGCCGTAATTAGGTCAAATATTATCCAATCACAAAACCCAGACAATATGCCCAGGGCACTTGATGACAAAGCTTCTGTGAAAGTTTGGTCAAAATCCGTTGAGAAATGTAGAAGGACTTGCGCACAGAAGAAATTGTTCACTATATATTCTATATAAGGAAAAAAACAAAGGGCCATAATTAGGTCAAATATTATCCAATCGCAAAACCCCGACAATATGCGCCAGGGCACTTGATGACAAAGCTTCTGTGAAAGTTTGGTCAAAATCCGTTGAGAAATGTAGAAGGAGTTGCGCACAGAAGAAATTGTTTACGACCGCCCACCGACATACCTCAATCTTATAACCAGTTTTTTCCTTCGGAAAACCTGGTTAACAACAATACACTAATCAAATACATAAGGTTTCTTTAAAACATTATAATTTTAATATAAATACTCAAAATAAGAACAAAACAAGGGAGGTAAAAGCTGCATATTTAAATATGAATATGAACTAAAGTTTGCGAATTTGGATGTAATGAAGGAAAGCTTTGTAATAAATGAATCGTTTTCGTTTCATTCATTCAACTACATTTAAATTTTAGATATATTATATAAAATGTACAATTCAAAATGAAAAATATGTATCACCTGAAACGTATGTGTCTATCAATCATGTAAATATGTTAAAGCTATGATCCGGAACCAAACAGGGGAAATAAGCGTTATAAATCTAAGTATTATATTTTATCACTTAACGATAAAACTTGTTCGGCGTTCATTCATTCAAATATGACTGTCGACATACATTTATATGAAAATAATGTCAATATAGATGTCGGAAGGTACTAAATAGTACATAATGCTCGTCTTCGTATTACAAAATAATGAAATAGTCATTTAATAAAACGGTAGAATAAATTAATACCATTACAATTGGTATGCAAACTTTTGCATTGATAAAAAAGTTTGTATGTTAATCGTTTAACAATATTGTGCACGAGTTTTTAATTTTACACAATATATTATGCATTGTTGTGTTGTGTAGCACTTTCTGAAGCATTCTGAATTGTAGATAAACATGGCACGTTGAAATGTGACGAAAAAACACTGTACATGTTCTGTAGTTAATAAATTAAATACAAAACAAATGTCATCAACAACCAAACATTTGTTGCAAACATTTTCCGTCGGTCGTAAACACATTTCAACTAGGATACTATATAATATTTAACAATTATAATAATCATATAAAAATAAAATTTGACATGTGTCATTGTTTCAAAATTGCATGTTTATAGAATGTTTAATTTACATTTTTAATTGTTTTTAGTTCATACAGAATTTATTTAAGGCCGATTATGTAGCAAGCTACCAACTTATTGAAACACTCTCAAATCCGTTTACGGATCCAACCAGTACTGAGAAATAAGTTTGAAGTTTCTTGCTCGCGGAAAATGCGGCTAGCCCTTGATGGGGTTTGAACTCAGACGGCCAGCAATTCATAGATTACTAGTCATAATACTATTAGCTCAAGTTTAGATTCAAACTTAGGAGAAGATTCTAAATATACTGATAATTTTACACATTAGCAATTATAATTCAGCTTGTACTCAAAAATATGAACTTTCATTTCATAACGCTTATTTTATAATACAGCATTTGTATTGTAAGGATTATTTCAACATGTGAAGTTTCTATTAGCCTCATCGGGTTAAAAAAAATTGTTCAATTTAATTTATTCACAATTCAACCCCAAAGCAGTTATACAAACAGAAAGTAAAAATGTATATTTTCCGGAAAATCCGAAAGATCATGTTAAACATTCAACATCAGTCCATTGTATAGATTGTTATATTAGATTAAATCATTTACGTAAATACATTCATATGCAAGTAAGTTATAATCAGTGATTTATTTACTTTAACATACTTATAGATAAGAGAATGAACAGTTTATCTATTCTACATGCATGTTATAAATCAAAATAAGAGGTGTCGCGTTTGCCATGGCATTTGATCACGTAGTAGAGTAGGTGGATTTCGTGACATATCACGTTATCTTGGAAAAATAATTATTTCCCAAATACATGTTTTATAACAAAATTTCTCGGCAAATGCAAGCATGTTTAATTTTGAATAAATTAAGATATATTTTAAATAGCATTTCCTACTCTTTGGTTGAAAAAAAAAACAAAACAAAAAAACAAAAACGCTAAACATATACGATTTTTTTTCCAGCGTGCTTGCTTACTTCAGCTACCATTAACGAATTTTTATGTACTGACCTTACAATAGAAAACAATCGTCTAACAAATATTATGATTTACAAGAAAGAATAGAGTAATGTAATACATGCATAAATAAGTTTTCAATAAAGCATTCATTTGTTAACATTACCGAAAAGAATGACATAATTTGACGAACACATGTTTCTTTTCTAATAATAAAAGAATGCATGAAAAGACTGTTTCGGACCGGGCTTTAGACTTCATCAGCATGAACGCAGTAATAGTCTTATATCGAACTTGTAACATCGATGGATCAAATAGGCACAAGCTGTGACCCTATGTGCTTTATTTTGAGCGACGGATATAAGAATCATCAACTTACTTTAAGCTACCAGTCCAGCTTACTTACATGATACACAACAGAAAAGTCCCTTACGAAATCATAAACAATGGCGGTGAAAAGAGCGTTTCCAAGTAAAAAAACACTAACCAATCAGAAAACGAGTACAACTAGTAAAGACATTTTAAAATCTTATCGTCTGCCATATCATACTTTAGGAAATATTACACTTCGAACTTTATAAACCCGTAAATGACTAATGACAATATTTCTGTCACAGGGTGAGAAAAATGTGCAGCCTGACCGGGACTCGAACCCGGGACCATTGGAATACCGTTCCGCGGCTCTACCGGCTGAGCTATCCGGCCGCTTACACATCTTCTCCCCTAATTAGTGAACAGTTCTGAACCGTGACATTTCATTTTTAAATTAAACAGTTTTCTTTTAGAAATAATACATTCAGACATTATAGATACCCTTACCAAAATACCCCCATAACACCTCGTTTCTATTTAGAAATAAAAAAAAACACACACCCAATATAAATTAAAAAATAAGTTAAAAAACAGTCGAACATGTATATTTGTTACCGAAATATGTTTCACATTAAAGTCAGTGTGTACTACATTGAGTGAAGGTCACAAAGCAATAAAAAAGGGAAATAACAAATGGCCATTGATGAATTCCACTGAACTTGATGGCAAGAAAATTGTTACAATATCATATCATTCAAATACTATATATCAGAAAAATAGTTTCAATTTCTCAGTCAACTTTCGTGTTAGAATTGTTTTCCGCTAAAAGAAGAGAAAAGGACCAACTTTGCACAAAGACCGTCTGATTCTATAAGCCAATGTTTAAATATGTCCCAAATCTTCTTTTTTTTCCTTTTTTGTGGCTAGTTTTCCCGTATTCTATTGCAGCGCTCGTGGTATCTGAAAAAATGCACCGAAACACCCGTACCAACCGACCACAAAGCTGCATTAATTAGTTGTTCTTGATCCTCACCTTGCCATAATGACCACAAGAAACGACATTTTAAAGGTACAGCAAACAAAACAACATAACCTAGATAGACAATCTCTTTCAAAATCGTAATTTTGAGGGTTTAAAAATGAATATTGCTCGATAAAACAAATCTACTCAAATTAAGTTGTATATGTGTCACAGGGTGAGAAAAATGTGACATATGTGATTATCGAAACTTCATCATATAATATAGGAACAAGTCAATAATGTTCTATCATTAAAATATTTGTTGTTTTATTATTAAAATTTTCATTAAAATCCATAGCTTTGAGCATCTTTCCCAAGGCCTTAACACACCTAAGTATACATTACAGTGTATGAAATGCGGCTCTAATAAAACTATTCCGCAATGCCTGATACAGTTAAACATATTTTCAAATTAAGTAGTAAAGTTATTTATTCATTTATCAAAGGGAAAGTGTTAAAGTGTTTATCATTTATCATATTTATATTTTTTTTGTCATTTAAAATTGTCTATGCATATACAAAGCAGCTGCATAAAATGAGCTTATTTACATATCTAACAGATGACACCAGTTTTTAAGGAACCGACTTGTTCCGTTATACGAATACAAATTCAAATTTCATATCAAACATTGAATTAACCTTTTAATTATTTCCATTCTGTGCAATTTAAACAAATTGAAAAATAATAAGCACTTTTAAATTTATTTTACCTGCACACACTGCCCCTATTCCCATAGATGCTTTCTGAAAGAAACCCCTGTCAGCGAGCGCTTTCTTTTCTACTGCCATGGTAACATCCTTCATCGGCGTCTCACATCGTCGAAGTAACCGCCATATTTGCTCAGTTTGAGTTTACTGTCTTTTAAATGCCTAATTATATCAATTTCTAGTTTTATAATCAAGTCTTGAATTTCAGCCACGTTTGCTTGTAAATCTCGTAATCTGACCTTGACCCTTTGTGAAGTAACGACGACTGAGTCTACCGCAACTTTACAAACGTCACTTGACGCAGAAAGAAACAACGTTTCTGATACAAGAGTAATGATGTGCCGGAAAAAGGATATAAGATAATATGGGCACTGGGAGTTCTTTCCGCGGTAGAACTGCTCCAGTTGTGAGACAAATTGATGAGATCGCAGGTAAAATTCCGTGTTTCCATGGTAACTGCCGTCTAAAAAGTCTTGTATATAGTCGTTCAGAAATTCAAGTACCGGAAGGTCGCCCTCAGCTAACTGAACCAGAAGTTTAATCCCTGAAAATTAACAAAACATCAACAAAGACATTTGCTTCAAAATGACTATGGAGTATAGAAAGTGTCGTCTGAGTAGCAATTAATTTCTCGTGTATATCCCTTAATTAATATGTAAATACCTTTAAAGCGACTCTCTTAAGTTATATGACAACTTATGACTCGTTTAACCTACTAGTAAAATAGGTGTATTTGTGTCAGTAAAACGATCGCGTGAAATATACTTTTAACGAACTCGTAACATATGTTTATATTGTAATAAACATTGTGTATCAATATTCAACATCATGCAATATGTGACGTGAATATCCAATAGTTGCATTTTATCAGTTTCTGTGTATTTCACACAATCAATCCAGACGGATTTTTATGGAACGCCGTGACTGTCTAATGCTATCAATGTTTTTGCTATCTTGTGAAATGATGACATTATTTTGTCATTTAAGCATATAAACATGTGCAATTTACATCATATCTTGTCTAAAGACAATGCTGACTTGTTCAAACAGCATGTTAACTTGTCAAATAATCATTATGACATGTGCAGACAACATGTTAACTTGTCAAAGTATCATGATAACTTGTGCAAACGACATGTTAACTTGTCCAAATATCATAATGACTTGTGCAAACGACATGTTTACTTGTCAATATTTCATGATGACATGTGCAATCAGCATGTTAACTTGTCGAATTATCGTGATGACATGCTCATAATACCTTAACAAGTTAACATGTGTTTTGCACAAGTCATTACGATTCTTTGACAAATTAACATGTCGTTTGCACAAGTCATCATGATACATTGACAAGTTAGGATGTAGTTTGCACAAGTCATCACGATACCTTGACAAGTTATCATGCTGTTCGCACATGTCATCATGAAATTTAGACAAGTTAACATGTTGCTTTCACAAGTCATCATGATACTAGGACAAGTTAGCATGTTGTTTGCACATGTTATCACGATGATCTGACAAGTTAATATACTGTTTGCACATGTCATCATGAAATTTTGACAAGTTAGCATGGCATTTGCACAAGTCATCATTATACTTGGACAAGTTAACATGTCGTTTGCACAAGTCATCATGATACTTGGACAAGTTAACATGCTGTATGCACATGTCATAACGATAATTTGACAAGTTAACATGCTGTTTACACATGTCATCATTGAATTTTGACATGTAAGCATGGTATTTGCACAAGTCAGCATGATACTTTGACAAGTTAACAGTGCTTTTTGACATGTCAGCATGATACAAGATAACATGTCATTTTCTCAAGTCATCACGATTCTTTGACAAATTCACATGTTGTCTTCACAAGTCATCATGGTTATTTGACATGTTAACATGCTGTTTGCACAAGTCATCATTATACTTTGACAAGTTAACATGTTGTTTGCACATGTCATCACGATAGTTCGACAAGTTAACACGTCCTATTCACAAGTCATCATTATACTTTGACAAGTTAACATGGCGTTTGCACAAGTCATCATGACATTTTGACAAGTTAACATGCTGTTTGCACATGTCATCACAATAATTTGACAAGTTCACATGACGTTTGCACAAGTCATCATTACATTTTGACAAGTTACCATGTCATTTGCACAAGTCATTATTATACTTTGACATGTTAACATGTTGTTTGCACAAGTCATCACGATACTTTATCAAGATAATATGTTGTCTGCGCATGTCATCATAATAGTTTGACAAGTTAACATGCTGTTTGTACAAGTCAGCATGTTCATTTGACAAGACATGATGTAAGTTGCACATGTTAACATGCTCAAACGACAAAATAATATCATCGTTTCACAAGATAACAAAAACATTGATTACATAAGACGGTCACGGCGTTCCATATATTTTGGTCAATAACGTTTATCGGCGGAACTCGTCTTCTACTTTACACACGTGTCTCAAAGTCAATAATCTGAAACATATACTTGTAAATAAGTACATGTACATTATCAAAAAACGTAGAGTAATTTATGCATGTCTTCGCAAACTTATAGATACAGATATACATTAGATCTATGTAAAATTTAAAATTAAAAACAAAAATACATGTATATACCAGTGTGTGTTTTCTCCTCCGATGTTTGCGAATCGTTTAAATCCTGCTCGCTTTTACTTCTTTTAAGTGACACAAATTTTGCCATCTGCTGTAATCACTAATAATACAATATCCTGAACATTGCTTGTTCACCGATAAGGTATTGATGTTATCAAAGCGTGGGGTAAACCGATTCTATTTATATCTTTAAATCCGGGTCATTTTATCGCTTTACTTACTGATACAGTGTGGCCATACCACGTGACTATGACGTCATTTTTGGCATCATTTCCAAGACAAATGTTGCTCGATTCGGAATTGAAAATAGCCGTAAATATTTTATTTCTGTGCCAATTTCTTTGGGATATGCACCAGTCTACGGGGAAAAATATAAGCTTTCCACAGAATATTGGATCGTCGTCAGTTTATAAGCCGTTTTATCAAACACTTTGCATAACCTTGGAAGTTGCTTGTATTTGAGCGGGCTTCAGTTGCAAGCTCTTTCGTTTTCTGGCGTTATCTGGTCTACGCCATGATTAAAAAGTCAGGTTTACATCAACCGGGAGTACTGAAGGCAAAACTCTACCTAAATATGTTCATATTTTTATTATGAATGACATAAATCTTACATTTTGCTTCAATTGTCAATTCTGGCACCTGTTCCAAGTCGAAAAAAAGGACTACAGTTTAAAGCAGATTTTAGAATCTGTTGCAAATGCAAAGCGTCATGCCTACCGTACTCTTTCTACAATTTAGTTTTTTATTGTTGATCTTTCACAAAGAGATTGTGGAAAAAAAACTAATGTTTCTTAAAGCAATAACACTTACATGTATCGCAAAAGTGCACGACACGTAGATTCAGTCCTGTCGAAAAATGATATTTTTGGTTTCATTTTGAAGATGTTTGAAGTATTGCTCATCTAATCCTATGTAGTTAAAATGTGTTTTATTATATTTCACAATGGCGAAATTGATAAGAAATATATGTGCTCTTAGTGAGAGAAAGAGTTAAAATAAAATAAAAAAAAACAAAACTTTTGTATGCTACGGAAATTGTTACACTTTAACGCGAGTGTTGTTAAGTTAAATAAGGTAATTTTTTTCATTCTATTTTTTGTAAAGAGTAACTGACAAACACTGACACACGTGAATGTGACGAATAGGTTCTTCTGTCGTCAAAAGAGAGACTTTTAAAAGGTATATATTTGGAATTGCCGTATTATAAATTTCTATAGAGTTTAATAAACGAAATCACAGTTTGAAGTACTATGCACATTAATCAGCTAACTGCCACGCGTATTAACATGACGTTGACATTTTATGCTAAGTAAACTATAAGCACTTTCATCATCAATAAAGAGCGGGAATGGAGACCATGTGGAGTAAACAAAGTAAAAATAGTAAACAGATAAATGATTTTACAAAACAAAACATTTAAAAAGACGGAAATAGCAATGATTATCAATAATTATATGAATATTTACATTAAGATCTGTTATAGCAACATCGGCAAGATCTATAACTGGGGTCCATATGACACTGATGCGTCCATTGAATAATTGATAGCTAACATAAACTAAGTAAAATTACGATTACTTTTGAAGAGTATATTCAATTTTTATACTTCAACTGTCAAATGACTTACTTCTTTATTTACATATCAGATAATTCCCTTATTTGGCAAATTCATTATGTTTATCATGTTTTATATTTTAATGTGGTCCTTTTTTAAATCTTAAAATGCTACAAAAATCCTGTTTAGGACATCTGCATGTCATGCCGCGTGCAATAATCCATGTATTTACAGCCGATGACCACATCGATAAGAAATAGTCCCAAATAGCCCTATCGTTTTTATTTAGTTGAAAGAGACATTATTGTTAAAACATTCTACTCGATTTAAATGTTTTCAAACCATAAATATTCCGTTCCCTTCCTCTCTTTATTACAATGTGTATTAGTAAGCTCTCTGATAAAGCTGGGTTGACTGATATAATTAACTAAATTTGTCAGATATGCAGTTTATTAACAGAAATAAATGCAATAATAAATAAATAGTGTTTAGTGTTCCTAAGTGAAAGAAGTTATATCCAGTTCACGAAAAACGGTTACCGTGGGTATGAAAACAGGATGTAAAAATTTTTTTATCAACGAGTGCCACTGTGTTAAAAAGCTGAATATATCATACTAAAACATTGCTACAGGTTCTTTACCAAGTATATACGAGTATATATGGTTATACGTATAAATAACTCTTTTCAAAAGAATAACATTTGACTTTAAAATTGTCGCGTTGAGGCGTAAAGTTCCCTTTTCACAGCATACAAATGGAAGTGATCCTGAATGTGCACATTCATTGGACAGGCTAGCTTAGTCAATCCGAGCCTGCAACATTTTCAATTTGGCCGTTTTTAGCGACATTTAGAGTTTCTGTTTTCTCTTTATTTTGAATATTCCGCGTTTAGTATTGCTTCATGACACTTATAGATTTTTCATAATCATTACCGTGAAAGAGAGAATGATTATATTCTTTACAAATGCTTTTTACGACTTTTAAAATCACTTATAGCGCAGCGAGTAAAAATTATTTAAATATTCATTTGTGTTTATGTAAATCGTATAATAGTAAATAAAATGTTTTTCATGGTTAACATAATTATAGAAAGAGAACGGTAGGCATGTTGCTTTGAATTTGCAACGGGTTTAAAATCTGCTTTAAAACTGTAGTCCTTTTTTTCGACTTGGAACAGGTGCCAGAATTGACAATTGAAGGAAAATGTAAGATTTATGTCATTCATAATAAAAATATGAACATATTTAGGTAGAGTTTTGCCTTCGATACTCCCGGTTGATTTAAATATGGCTTTTAATCATGGCGTAGACCAGATAACGCCAGAAAACGAAAGAGCTTGCAACTGAAGCCCGCTCTAATACTAATAATATCTGTCATATTTTGCGGTTCGGATCGGAATATCCGTCCCGAGGTGACCCGCCCATTGGGCGGTAACGAGGCTTGCCGACATATGTCAGATATTTTTTCTTGCATATTCTACCATATTCCATTATATTTTAAATTCTTTATCTTTATTTTCAATGAAAATTTATATTATTACAACCGTAACTACTTTCATTCAACAGCGTATGAATTACAAAATCATTCATAACGGTAAAATGACGTCATCTTTATCGTGCCATTGTACAGCACGCGACTCATCTGGAACCCCCCATGCCAGATGAAATTTCCGGTATGGGTAAAACTAACGGAAACGCCAGTCTGATATGCAAGAAAAGCAACTTCCAAGGTTATGCAAAGTGTTTGATAAAACGGCTTACAAACTGACGAAGATCCAATATTCTGTGGAAAGCTTTTATTTTTCCCCGTAGACTGGTGCATATCCCAAAGAAATTGGTACAGAAATAAAATATTTACGGCTATTTTATTTTCCGAATCGAGCAACATTTGTCTTGGAAATGATGCCAAAAATGACGTCATAGTCACGTGGTATGGCCACACTGTGATACTATGCACGCTTGTCAATTTCTCAAGGTGACACGGGATCAGTCATTATTTATTTGTCTGCTCAAGTTTGTTTTTGTCTATAATTGGCAGACATAATGTTACACAATAAAGGCTATGTATGTACTAATTATGATAACACCTTGTTTGTACAATATACCATGTCATTTCAGTCATTATCTACATTTATAAACGTAACAGTTACTTATACGCACGCACGTCCTTTTGTTTACATTAGAAACGGCGAATACGTATAGTTTTCACTCGTGTGTTAAAGTATATTTAGATCGATCTTAAAGTGAATAATTTTATCTTACTTTATCTGATGTACGCAATAACAAAATCAAATAATTTTAATATGTTTTTAAATAAAAAAAAATTATAAAAGCAAACAATAAAATAATATAAACATACAACAAAATAACAAAAAACAAAACCGATAAAAGTGTAACGAGTGTACATATGTATATGGTGGAATTATAAAATTCAGGTATTTTAGGTAATTAAAACATAATGAATTAAATATACTGAGTGCATAGTACAATATCAATTTTTCACCTGAAACATTATACAATGTTTATAACAAATAAACAATATGAGCAAATCAATGGATATACGCAGCATCGGCAAGGGAGAGAACTGTGTTCCACATATTCATATTCTGTAAAAAGAAATTAAACCCCCTTGACCGATTTGTTAATGAAGTTGGTTTTATAAAATGATTTAATCTAATATTTAACATGATATTACAGTCTACAAGTAGCTGTATTTCTAAATGAAAACTGCATACTGTTAACATAGCGCAAAAAAAAGATAAAAAAACCAACAAGACACGACAAAAGTAAAACTAGTTAAATTGCATATGTTAGTTCTTTGTTTTCCATGTACATGTATGTGTGTCTAAACAAACCTGCCGCGTTTCGGTAAGTGAACTCAATTCTAACGCAGTCAGTAAGGCAATTATTTTATAAGTACTTGATTAATATGCAAAAATATATAAAAATTATAAACATCATATCAATGAACACATCAATAATCATATAATATATAAGAGATTGATTGAACACCATAAAATAAGGGCTTGATAAGTAGTGACATTATTTTCGATATTGTGGTCAAATATGAATGGTTTTATAGGCCCTGCTATGAGTTTTGTTTTTGTATACAGTTCATTTAAATACTCTTTTATACAGGGCCAATGAAACTTGTCACGAACTTCCATTTATTTAGAGGAAAACATGAAAATACTTCATCATTTCACAGAAGCCGTGCACATGTATATAGCTTATCCAATGAAAGCGACGGAACAAAGATAAAATATTATAAAATTGTATATACGGATAGGATATAAGTAGATAAATATATTTAAGTATTCTATATATTATGACAGTCTGAGTATACAATTGATGTGTAGCTGTATGATATAGATTGAAAACTGTGCAATATGCTATAATTATGCGATAAGGTGTGCATGACTTTGTGCCGAAATATGAATGAAACATCATATAAAACTGTGTGTATATGCTTTAAATGTTTTCTATAAGGAATTTATACTCCTTATTTTCATTCATCGAAAAGAATATTTTGGCTATCTCACTTTTTATAGTACATACGTTGGAGCAAAGCTGTAC